TTTTTTTTTTTTTTCCCTGTGCCATAGGTGCAAAACTGGCAGCAAACTCTCCCTTAACCTGTGTGTTTTAATGGACATATTTTACATAATGGCATTTGCCTTCCTTTAATACAGAAACATCACTGATGTAAGCATAATCGAGGAACAGTCCATCTTTATTCATATCAGTGCTCATTATCACTTATACCATAGACCTTTTGAATCTCTACAGACTCTTTCTTTTTGCAGGAGACCTTCACTCAGTGGATCTGCTTTTCAACCTGGATCGTGTTACTGCTCTAGAGCACTTACTCAAGTCAGTTTTGCTCTACTCCTTTGACAGATCGGTTTCCTCCTCTTTTCCAATTACATGCATGTGCCACCTGGTTGTTAAGGAGAATGATCCTTCTAGCCAAGTGTGTCCCAGTGTTCCACAGTCGATAACTTTTAATCTGCGATTTGAACTTACAAGGCGCAAGTGGGTTGAAATTGATGTGACCTCCTTTCTTCAGCCACTGATTACCACTAACAAAAGAAATGTTCATATGGCTGTAAATTTCACTTGTCTGAAAGATGATCAACACCAGAACTTTAAACAGGAAGGTTCCTTTAATACAGCATTGGTTCTCCCTTCTCTTATTTTATATCTAAATGATACCAGCAAACAAGCTTATCATCGGTGGAATGTGCTTAGATTTCAGAAGAGAAACCCAGTGTGGTCCAGACCGAGAAACAGTCCACTGGCTGATCCTGCAGAAGATGCAGGCAGAGACGATACAGAAGGTAAAAGAGCATCCCGCCACCGAAGAGATGATGTAAAAGAGAGCCTGGCCTATAATATGAGTGAATACTTCAAACAGTTCCTTTTCCCTCAAAATGAATGTGAGCTTCACAACTTCCGTCTAAGCTTTAGCCAACTAAAGTGGGACAAATGGATAATTGCACCACATCGATACAGCCCTCAGTACTGCAAAGGTGACTGTCCAAGGGTGGTTGGACATCGTTATGGATCTCCAGTCCATACAATGGTACAGAACATCATATATGAGAAACTGGACTCATCTGTTCCAAAACCCTCTTGCATCCCTGCAGAATATAGTCCACTGAGTGTCTTGACAATAGAGCCTGATGGTTCTATAGCCTACAAAGAATATGAAGACATGATAGCTACTAAATGTACTTGCCGGTAATGGGTAAATCCCACAGTACTGTGGCACACTTTCAGGGATATTTTTTGTAGTACTAAAAGCAATTTATAGACCAGACCAACTAAACATCAAAAC